AGTATGATGATCCCCACTGGCTTGTCCTTAAGAACATGGTACAACATAGTGATTCCAAAGAGGTGACTATTGGTGATAATGGGGGTGTTGAGGCTTGAGGGCCGGATTTGTGTGCCTAACGTTGATGGATTACGAGAGTTTATCCTTGAGGAGGCCCATAGTTCGCGGTATTCCATTGATCCGAGCACCGCCAAGATGTGCCATGATTTGAAGCAGTACTACTAGTGGATAAGAATGAAGAGAGATATTGTGGAGTATGTGGCTCGGTGTTTGAACTATCAGCAGGTGAAGTACGAGCATGGGAGATCGGGTTGTTTTCTTTAGGAGCTTGATATTCTGGAGTGGAAGTGGGAGCGTATTACTATGAATTTTGTAGTTGGACTCGCACGGACCCTAAGGAGATTTGATGCAGTATGGGTCATTGTGGACAGGCTGACCAAGTCTGCATACTTCATTCCAGTCATGACTACCTACTCTTCAGAGTAGCTGGCTCAAATTTATCTTCGTGAGATTGTTCGCCTTCATGGTGTTCCGGTTTCTACCATCTCCGTCCAAGGCACGCGGCTCACATTGTATTTTTGGAGAGTTGTATAGCGTGAGTGGGCACACAACTTGAGCTGAGTACGACATTTCATCCCCAGACGGACGGGCAGTCTGAACGCACTATTTAGATCTTGGAGAAAATGTTACGTGCCTGTGTTATTGATTTCGGAGGTTTATGGGATCAGTTTCTATCGCTAGCAGAGTTCACCTACAGCAACAACTATCAGTCGAGCATCTAGATGGCTTCGTACGAGGCCTTATATGGTAGGCGATGTCGTTCTTCGGTTGGTTGGTTCGAGCCCGGGCAAGCTAGGTTATTGAGTACTAATTTGGTTCAAGATGCCTTAGAGAAGGTGAATTTGGTTCAGGATCAGCTTCGTACAGCAGTCCAGGCAAAAGAGCTATGTTGATCGGAGGGCTCGTGATGTGGCATTTTTGGTGGGTGAGAGAGTTCTACTCAGAGTTTCACCCATAAAGGGTGTGATGAGGTTCGGGAAGAAGGGAAAATTGAGCCCTCGGTATATTGGCCTTTTTGAGATTCTTGAGAGAGTGGATGAGGTGGCCTACGGACTTCCATTGCCACCCAGCTTATCGGGAGTTCACTTGGTGTTCTATGTTTCCATGCGCCAGATTTATTATGGTGATCCATCATATGTGTTAGACTTTAGCTCAATGCAATTGGACAAGGATTTGACCTATGTTGAGCCAATGACTATTTTGGACAGGCAGGTCTAGAAGTTGAGGTTGAAGAACATTGCATCGGTAAATGTTCAATGGAGAGGTCAACCTGTTGAGGAGGCGACTTGGGAGACTGAGCATGATATGTGGATCCATTATCCTCATCTTTTTGGCACTTTAGGTATGTCTTTATACTCGTTCAAGGATTAACGTTTATTTAAGAAGGGGAGAATGTAACGACCTGACCGGTCGTTTTATGTATTTGATCCCTATTTTTTCTTTTGAAGCTTTTCGTATGTGTATTCGAGAATTTATGACTTGCGGGGATGGTTAGTTCCATCTTGGGGAGGTTGTGGATTAATTAGGATCAATTGGTTCTTAGTTTGGAAGCTTAAGTTTAAAAAAATGACCGAGATTTGTCTTTTTGTAAAAATAACCCGGGAACGGTATTTTGATGGCTCCAATAAGTTTGCATGGTAATTTGGGCTCCAATAGGTTCATAAGAAAATCACAAAATAAACATATATAACTTCATGAACATGTATCTGAAGTTAGCCTATGAAAAAAGCTAACTTTAATATATCTCAGGAATCATGTCTCTAAAGTTAGCCTCTAAAAAGAGCTTACTTCGGAATACGTTAGAATATGAAGTTTTGAACAATGTCATACTTCATCATCGTTAGATTCATCATTAGAAAAAAATCCAAAACACACACAGAAACAAATTGTAACAAAAAATGAGAGCTTAAAACTCTGACATGGATCAAAACCTAACACAAATTAAAACCCTAAAAAGTAGTAATTTCACCACTGATCAGTGAAACACTAGGGTTAAAACTAACCGCCTTTACTTTAAACACTAAACACGATTAAACTAAATATATGTACAAAACATCAATAAAAAAACCATCATTACATTACCGCAGAATAGGCGAATTGAAGCATAGAAAATTGTGAAATTCGAAAATCATACATGTAATAGATACTAAATCTTGTCGCAAAAGAAGACTGTTGCTCCTCCATAAGAGGAATCTGAAAACTTAACCAACAAAATGAACACAGAAGAGAGATAGAGAGAAATCGAGAAACACACATGAAAGGCGCCTTTTAATTGAGAACGACAAAAGCATCTTTTTATTATATTTTTAACTAAGCGGAGGATAGTTGTGCAAAGAACAAACCACCGTGGGTATAAAATCAAGGGAACATCTCACTTTATATCCATTAAGCCTAAACTATTTACCCTTTATTACCCAAGCCTAAACTATTTTCTTTTCCTACCTATGTAGCCCAAACTATTTACCTGGCCAACTTATTAGCTATTTGCCTTCTCATTTGAAGTACAGAATGTTAAAAACATTCAGCTTCATTTTTGAAAGCTTACCTGGTAGTGGACTTGAATGGACCAACTTCTTCTCAGCCAAATCAATCTTCATTAAGAGAGTCAACCCAAGTTATTGCTTTACCTCCTTTCCTTATGATTTCTGTGTGTGTATGAAGAACCACAATTGTTCAGCTTGAAGACCCACTATTGTTGAGCTTGAATCTCCTGAATTTGAATTTTTGTTTTGAAGATTTATTATTTGATTCGATGTGGGTGCTATAAAAAAATTGCTTATTAACCTTCGAGTAAGCTTCCCAAATCTGAATTTTTATGTGTGTTGTTAGCTTGAAGCTCAATTTTCATTTTTTGAAGATTTCTTGTTTGATCAAAGTGAGTGTTATTAAATATTACTTATAGCACCTTCTGAAAGTTCATACTGAAATTTGATCACATTTGAAGTTGATTTGAGATTGAATCTTTCAGTTGAAAATTGAAGAAGAACACAATTACCTAATAGTATACTGCTACGGTATATAATATGCTATATGAGTATATAGCTATATTGCAACAATATACTATTACTGCAATGTATACGTTAATAATCGAAGAAGAACACAGTGACCTAGCAGTATACCATTACGGTATATAATATACTGTAGGAGTATATAGCTATAATACAAATATATACTATTATAGTATATAATGTACTGTAACGGTATATTATAATAATGTGTAGTATACTGCAACAGTACCATAATAGTATACCATTTTAAAGTAATAGTATAATGTTGAATGAAGAACATAAAATATGCTGTAATATTATACAATATACTATAATAGTATACTTTACCTGCTATTTGTTAAATCATCTGGGTGCTATTGTGGAAAGCTAAAATCGTAGTGATAGTTCGAATTTTGTTGCTGATAATTAAAAAAAAATTGTCCACCAATAAAGAAGCTTTGAAGCTTTGATTTGAGAATTAAAAGCTTAATATAGTTATTTGGATTTTGAATTTGGATGAGTATTATTAAAGCTTGTTAAAAATGCTTGTAAGGATTAATATTGAAGTTTAAGTTTATTTAGAATTGTTTTAAAGTGGGTTTGGTGGTTCCACAAAAGTTAAAAAAATTAATAACCTTGATAAAAAAGATAATTGTAATTGGGGATGGGTAATGCTGAACATTCTTTTTAAGTTAAGTGAAATTGGGGATGAGTAGGGTCGGGTAAATAGTTTGGAATAGGTAAAAGCGGGTAAATATTGTAGGTTGTGAGGGTAATTGTGAATTTATCCTTAAAATCAAGAAAGAATTATAAAAAAATACACATGACTTCACACCATAACAGAAAAAATGGCACATATTTTTAAGTTTCACCTTACCGAGTCCATATTGTACATATTTTGAAAGTACTATCAAATTCAAAACTCGTGTTCTTACAATCATTGCTTCTAAAAGCTATGGAGTTAAATCTGTGTTCTCGCAACCATTGCTTTCACTCTCTCTTCTTCTCACATCTTCTACATATGCTTTAAGGGGCCGTCCACCATTACTGCTTCTCTCCCTGTGTCACTTAATTGCAATGTAAGAAAATTGAAAAGTAGAAGTCCACCATTAAAGACCATTCAATGCTTTGCTTTCAAAAATAGAATTTTTTGAGTTTGTTAGTTGTTTGGATTGAGTGTTGTTCCAATTGATTGAAAATATCAAAAGAAGTTCAAAAATTAAAATTGAAGTGATTTGGAGTAGATTTGAGCAAGATTTGAGTTAAATTTCAGAAAAAACGCAAGGAAGAAGACGAAGTCAATTTTTTGCATAATTATGTATAATCTTGTATAATAGTGTATATGAGTATATAAACACATCTTATACACTATTATACACTTTTATACACCTTTATACAAGCGTCTGTAGACGAACATCTTTCACGATTTTCAGTTGTAATTTTTTACAAAACCAAACCAAATCTCCATTAAATGACTTCAAATTTTATATACAACCTCCTTATATTATTTCTAACAAGCTTAATAACACCCACTCCAAATTTTTCACAAAATCAAATTCGGAATTTAAATCCACATATTTAAGCTTGTTAAAAATCTAATTTTCACCACCCAAATGGATTTGGTTTGTTGAACTAATAATTGAGTCACAGTTACTGATTCGAAAATTAACTTAAAAGCTTGAGCAATCTTTTTTTAAAAATTAAATAGTAATTTCGAGAATCTATTGGAATTGAACGTTGAGTATTAACCTATTATTTTTGGACTAGTTGGTTGTAAATTAAAATATAAGTTATAAAATTGAAAAGTAGGGAGCCCAGTTATTCTATGAAATTTTTCCTAAAATCAATAGGCGGCGCAAAATTGGGCTATCACATGAAAATTTGAGTAATTTTCGTGTCCATTCCTGTAAATAACCCCAGTCCACCCTCCCCTTAATGGCGCCCATTTAGGCTAAGCCCAGTAAATGAACTTGGGGGAGTTTGGTGGAGAGAGAAAAATCTCTTTACAACATCGTCACTCTGGTTTATTACTGGTACATTCCATTATCAGTACAGAAGAGTACAGGGAACTCAAACTAAAAACTCTAATTCTGTTGACATATACCAAACATGGCCTTAACAATCCCAGCACAGCTCTTGCTCAAGCCACCCAATTATCGAGTGTTGCAAACCCCTGGAGGAGTTATTAGTGTAACAGTTAGAACAAGAAAAGCTCATAATTCATTGTTTTACAACTTCCATAGGTTGTATTTAGGTCTCACGGCGGCCTGCAGTGATGGAGGGGGTGAAGTTTATGTTAACCCTCACCAAGTGAAGTTTCTTTACCCCCTATTTCTCCTACTGTATTTTAGTTTCTTATTGCCTTTTGTCTCTACTCTGTCATGCTATGAGTTTCCAAACTCATTTGTGAATGTTATATAGATCATATTTCTCTCTTATAGGGAAATTTCGGTTTACAAAACACAACTTTAACCTCCAGTTCTTAATCCTAGAGATAAATAAATAAACCTGTTTGCTTAATGTCTACTTAATCGTTGAGACTACTTCCATTTTTAGAGGTGATCTTTCTTTCACTAACTCTTTCAGAGCTTATCTGCATCAAGTTTTTTTGCTTAGGTGTACATGATGATGAATCTTCCTGTTTCATTTACAGGATGTTGATAAGTTAAAGGATAGCTCATCTAACACAGGTGATGGTTACATTGCCTTGTTTGTTCGGATGCTTGGTTTGGACCATGACCCTCTAGATAGAGAACAGGCAGTCATTGCTCTCTGGAAGTATTCACTTGGAGGGAAGAAGTGTGTTGATATGTTAATGCAGTTCCGGGGTTCTGTTAATCTGACTGTGAACCTTCTAAGGTCTGAGTCTGATGCTGCTTGTGAAGCTGCTGCTGGTCTTTTGAGGATGATATCCTCAGTGAATATGTACAGAGAGCTTGTGGCAGATAGTGGTGCAATAGAAGAGATAAACGGCCTCTTGCGACGTTCTTCCCTCTCCCCAAATGTGCAAAATCTACCTCATTTTTTCTGTCCTCATGTCTTTTTGTCAGAAGCATTTGAGGCACAAGCTTGAATTTATTTCTGCAGGTGAAGGAGCAAAGCTTATGTACATTATGGAATTTATCTGTGGATGAGAAACTCAGAAACAAAATTGCCAATTCTGATCTCCTGCCTTTACTGATAAAGTTTCTGGAGGATGAAGAAGTGAAAGTGAAGGAGGCAGCTGGAAGGGTTTTGGCTAATTTAGCATTGACTGTTTCTAATCACAAGAATATGGTTGAAGCAGGTGTCATCCCAAAACTGGTAAGACAATAAGACCGGTTGATTCGTGTTCTTACACTTTCTTTGGGTAGGTATCAATTGGTCTTGAATATATTTATGAGTGTTTAAGAATTGCGAAAATTTTATTTCAATTAATCAATACACCTCAATCCTATACTAGCCGGGATCAGCTGTACGAATCCTTTGAATCCATTAAGCTCTATTCAGGTCCGTTTTGTTCCGGTAGGAAAAACAGGAACAAAAAGATTTGGTTTTTAATGCAAATTAATTCGTTAAAACTAATATAGGTTGTTTGTCCAAGTTTCTAAAGTTAGATTATTTTGAAAAGTGTTTTTAAAAAGGTACTTTTGGTGAGAAGCAGTTGTGTTTGGCTAATTAATTCGAAAAGCGCTTTTGAGCATCAATTAGGTTTGACCAAGCTTTTAAAAAGTGGTTCATACTTTTGGCCAAAAAAGGCACATTTAGCCAAAAAGAAGCTTGGCCAAATAGGCTATAAAGGTTCTCTATATCTCATATTTATCTCTATATAGATATTTGAGTGTCTAACCAAAAACAGGACTGGTATCCTTGCTTCTGCTGTGTTATGCTCTTAACTATGTCTACATTTATTAGGAGCGATTGTAAATCCTTTGACATAGCTTTCCTGTAATTTTAAGTTTACGTCGTCTCCTTTTACCACCTTCAACGTACATAATTACCACCTTCATCCATCATTATGAGTCGATATTTCAGAAGAATTGTACAGCCAATTCGGAAGTTTCAAACTAAAATAAAGCAGACAAGGAGACTGGTAGAAAAAGGAAAAGCAGATGAAAGGTTCCATAAAGCAAAGAAGGACTCAGTCACTGATGAAAGCTTTGAATTGCTACCTGGGGACATATTGGTGAGACGCATTACTGATATGGGAGTTCTAAGAACCAATAAAATGGGGTTTCTGGCCCAATTCTTTCAGGTTCATGTGGTAACCTTTTTTATGATGAACCGTGTTAGAACTTGCTTTAAAAGATGGTGGTGGTCGGTGGATGATGATAAAATGCTATTCTGATCTGGGCGTCACCGGTTATACCTTCAAGTGAGTAGTGACTGTGAGCTCTAATGGCACAGCAATATGTTGACCCCAAAATTATCTTTCTTCTTCATCGTAAAGGCTGATTCAGTGATTGCTCAAACAGTGTTCTCAAACTTGTAAGCCCACTTTTTCCTTGTTGCTCGCATGCCAATCCCATCCTACGTGAGGAAAACCTTTGTATGCCTTATTTCCCTTTTTATGCCTGTGCCCTAACAACTTTTTACCTCGAACGGTCTCATAGCAAGGTGGTGTTGACACAGCTAGTATCCTACTAAAGTGGTAGTTGATCTAGGTCCTGTTTTTCCTTTTTGGAAGCCATGCCCCCTAAAAAAGCTGTCCACCTGTCACTGTCCGAGGATCTATTGGGACATTCTGCAAAAAGCTAGAATCAAAGACCAACCAGAGTTGTCGTGTTCAGAAGATATTTTATATTTACTTCAATTCAATTTCAGAGAAGAGAGAACCTATCTGGTGACTTTCCCCTCTGTATTCGTCTTGGATACGTCAATTTTTCTTATTACCTTCTGGAACTCCAGGATTTTCCATGTGCCATTAAGAAAAAGAGATCTAGAATATAATTTGCTGGTTCTTGAACAAGGATAGGGAGGAAAGAACCTAATAGAACTTAATAGATACAGAAAAGATGGTGGGAGGTAGTACGATATCCCGTGGAATTAGTCGAGGTGCGCGCAAGCTGGCCCAGACATCACGGTTATAAAAAAATAGATATAGAAAAGATACAACAACAACAACATACCCAGTAAAATCCCACTAGTGGGGTCTGGGGAGGGTAGGATGTACGCAGACCTTACCCCTACCCCGGAAGGGTAGAGAGGCTGTTTCCGGGAGACCCTCGGCTCAACAAGAGATAAAATAATTTCAAAAAGACACGAAAGGAGAGATAGGTAACAACAAAAAAAGCAAGAGAAGTGATAATTATATCTTAAAATAGACCAAATAGGTGAAAGGGAGTGCAATAATAAAATCATATGAAAAATAACAAAATAGTGTGAACATAACATATACCGCTAGCAGACCTAGGCATAACTCTATCAGACTACCCTGTACAAAGAGGGAAAAACTATGAACTACCCCTAGCCTACAACCCTAATGCTCGACCTCCACGCTTTCCTATCAAGAGCCTTGTCCTCGAAATCTCGAGTCGCGCCATGTCTTGCCTGATCGACTCTCCCCAATTCTTCTTAGGACGCCCTCTACCTCTTCTCGTGCCTGCCAAAGCCAACCGCTCGCACCTCCTAACCGGGGAATCTATGGTTCTCCTCCGCACGTGTCCATACCACCTAAGCCTCGCTTCCCGCATCTTGTCGTCCACATGAGCAATGCCCACCTTCTCCCTAATAACTTCATTCCTTATCTTATCCAGTTTAGTATGCCCGCACATCCATCTCAACATCCTCATCTCGGCTACATTCATCTTCTGGATATGTGAATTCTTAACTGGCCAACACTCAGCCCCATATAACATAGCCGACCTAACCACCGCTCTGTAGAACTTACCTTTGAGTTTCAATGGTACCCTCTTGTCACATAGGGCTTCAGATGCTAACCGCCATTTCATCCACCCCACCCCAATGCGGTGCGTGACATCCCCGTCGATCTCCCCATCACCCTGGATAATAGACCCTAGGTACTTGAAACTTTCTCTCTTGGGGATGACTTGTGAGTCGAGCCTCACCACCCCGTCCGCTTCCCTTGACACACCGCTGAACTTACACTCCAGATATTCCGTCTTGGTCCTACTCAACTTGAAACCTTTGGACTCCAGAGCCTGCCTCCACACCTCCAATCACTCATCAACACCGCTATGCGACTCATCGATCAAAACTATATCATCAGCGAACAACATACACCATGGCACCTCCCCTTGAATATGGTGTGTCAAGGCATCCATCGTCAGAGCAAATAAGAAAGGGCTAAGCGCAGATCCTTGGTGTAACCCCATAATCACCGGAAAAAGCTCAGTGTCACCTCTCGCAGTCTTGACCTGAGTCTTAGCTCCATCATACATATCCTTTATCGATTCAATGTATTTTACCGACACCCGTTTCACTTCTAGGCACCGCCAAAGAACGTCCTTAGGGACCCTGTCATATGCCTTTTCTAGGTCAATAAACACCATGTGCAAATTCCTCTTTCTCTCCCTGTATTTTTCCACCAACCTCCTTATTAGGTGGATAGCTTCCGTAGTAGAACGTCCCGACATGAATCCGAACTGATTTTCAGAAATAGATACCGCCCTCCTCACCCTCCCTTCCACCACCCTCTCCCAAACTTTCATGGTATGGCTTAACAACTTGATGCCCCTATAATTGTTACAATTCTGGATATCGCCTTTGTTTTTAAACGGTGGAATTATCAAACTACACCTCCACTCATCTGACATCCTCTTCGTCTTGAAAATAACATTAAACAACCCAGTCAGTCATTCTAAGCCCGTTCTACCCACGTACCTCCAAAATTCTACTGGAATCTCGTCTGGTCCTGTCGCTTTGCCCCGACTCATCTTACCCACAACTTTCACTACCTCCTCAACCTTGATACGCCTACAGTACCAAAGTAACGATGACTCTCGGAGTGTCCCAACTCCCCTAGAACGATGCTACTGCTCCCCTCTTCATTCAGAAGTTCATGAAAGTACGTCTGCCATCTATGCTTAATATGGGAGTCTTCCGTCAATACTCTGGCTTCCTCCTCTTTGATGTACCTCACTTGATCCAGGTCACGAGCCATTCTCTCTCGCTTTAGCCAGCCGAAATAGCTTCTTGTCCCTACCTTTGCCCCCAGTTCCTCATACAAACGATCAAACGCAACAGTCTTAGCATCTGTGACCGCTAATTTTGCCTCTTTCCTGGCTTCCTTGTACCTCACTCTGTTTGTTCTCCTCTGCTCCTCATCGGTACTCTCCACTAACGCAAGGTGCGCCAGTTTCCTTGCTTCCACTTTACCTTGGACCACACCATTCCACCACCAGTCGCCTCGGTGCCCGCCATAGTAGCCCTTCGATACCCCTAACACCTCTCTTNATACCCACTCCGTTCTTGCCCTTCACGCGTCTGGAGTACCACAATTTAAACCCGTCCACATTTCTCGCCTTTGATCCTACCCACATGGTCTCCTGAACACAAGCTATATTGACCTTTCTCTTCCGGAGAATCTTCGCTAACTCTATGGACTTACCTGTTAACGTCCCTATATTCCATGATCCAATCCTCAACCTACAGGCTCCCTTGTTGCCTTTACCCCCTTTGGGCCCCGTCCCACCCCATGACGCGTGCCCTACCCCCTGCCCCACCACCCGGCCACCTCGAGGACATGACCCTACTCTGCCATTATGAACCACAACCGTTATTCCTACGTTGGTCTAGACAAAAATGCAACTACAAACAAGCAAAGCTATAAACTAGAATGTGACAAATATCCTAAACTACTACAGCAACAAATTAACTTAAACAAATAGGTGAGGGGAGGTACCAATTCCCGCGGATAGAACTTGAACTTTCGACTTGCTATACTCCCGATGCTGTGGAACCCGACGTCCAGCCCTTAGGACTACGAACCAACCCGCCTGCTCTGTTGAGTTTGTTCGTACACCTCCCAACGTAACCGATCTGCTGGTTTGCTCGTACACCAGATCTGCTGCTGGCCCGACTCGCCGGAAAACAATGGCGGACCCTGTAAAACCCACGAACCCCAACGTCCAACAAAGTGCAACCTAGAAAACACACAAACACACAACGGAATCGAGAAAAAGAGACAAATGCTGGACTGTCACCGTCACCACCTGTGACACACAGATCTGCTGCTGGCCCGACTCACTGGAAAACAATGACGAACCTGTAACAGTGAAGCGACGCCGGGAAAAGAAGAAGGGCGACAAAAATAAAGTACAAAGAAGAAGGGGAAGCACAGAGAAGGGGTTGGGGTTGACGCCGGAAACAAGAGCGGCGCCGGTGTAGCGTTGCTCGCCGGCCTAGCCCCTGCTAGGGTTAAGAAGAGGGCAGAAAGAGAGGGGGGAAGGAAAGGGGAAACGCGGAGGGGGAGAGAGAGAGGGGTGTGCTTACCTGGCTTACCCGTCCACGCCGGTGCCGGTGCTGGCGAAGTTCACCGCAAAGCTTACCGTTGGAATTAGACCGTTTGTATTCAGAGGGCGTGTAGGAGAGAGAGAGTCGAATCAGGGAAGTTGCTCCATTTTGTCTCTTAATAGATACAGAAAAGATCTAAAATATAATTAGTTGGTTCTTGAACAAGGATAGGGAGGGAAACGAAATAGATACATAGTAGAAATCGAAAGAAATGAAGGTCATGGTTCATGATATACATGTAATTCTACAAACCATGTAAAAGATCAGACAAGTTGACAATGTAATTCACTAGTAAGGCATTCATGAAGAGATTGTTATACGTAGTTGGATTAAGCAAGAATGTCTAACGCTTCTTAGTCTCATCTTCTGCTTATAACATGTAGGTGATTTGATCTATAAAAACATTGTTAATTTGTTGAATCTGTTGCAAGTCTACTGCAATGTCCTCCAGAAAAGAAGTTAGTTTTTATCATTTTTATTATTGTTTGTGGCATATTTAGGGCTGGATTTTTTAATCCATTTTCGGTGGTTAATGTCTTTGATGCCGCAAAACTGAAGCTCAGAGAATTTCATTACCTTGGAGCTGTGCAGGCAATGCTCTTGAAAAATGAGGTGGAGGGATCTAAGGTCATTAGAAAAGAAGCGAGGAATGCGTTGCTGGAACTTGCTAAAGATGAGTACAGCAAGATTCTTATCATGGAGGAAGGTCTTCTTCTGGTCCCTTTAGTTGGTGCAGTTGCCTACAAGTCCTTCAGGCCAGCTCTGTATTCATGGCCTTCTTTGCCTGATGGTACGAAACTTGACCAGAACCCAAAAACTTCAAGATATGGCGCCTCTGAATTACTTCTTGGATTAAATATTGAGGATAAGAATGCAAACATTGAGGAAGCAAAGATGAAGGCAATGGTAGGACGCACTCAACAGCAATTTCTTGCACGTATTGGGGCAATAGAAATGGAAGAAGATAATATATCCAGTGGTGAACTTTCATCAAATCCAAGGTTTACTCTTTTGCCGTGGATGGATGGCGTGGCTCGCTTGGTTTTAATTCTTGGACTTGAAGATGAGTCAGCTATTGCTAGAGCTGCAGAGGCCATTGCAGATGTATCTGTTAATGAGCAAATGCAGGTTTCGTTTAAAGAAGCAGGTGCTATAAACCCTCTTGTTCGGCTAATTAACCATCCTAGTGACACTGTTAAATTAGCTGTTATTCGGGCTCTGGAGAGGCTATCTATCAGGTAGTTATCATATTTACTTTAAGATGTTATACTCTTCCATGTAGTTAAGACACATTAATGACTTATCTAATTATGTCCTATGTGATTATGGCTCTGTGGTAAAGGTTCATTGATTTACTTTCAGCAGTGAGCCGTGAAAGTTCTCTCCTTTATTTAATATTGATGTTAGGGGCGTAATCATCTGATAATTGCACTTTAGAAAAGGTGAATTCTTCCTCCATTATGTGCTTACTTTGGAGCAAATATGATTCATGGCTCTGGTATTGGACTAAGCTCTTAAAAGGATCTTACTGTAAAGCAACTTGTTCAATTAACAATTCTTGTGATTCTATTAGATTTGCTGTTATTTGCTAAATTTGTCTTGTAATTCTTTTGTTTCCATGGTTATGAGACATAAATGACTTGTTGCAGCTAAATATTTCAATCTGTATGACTCCCTTTAATGTTTTTTTTTTTTTGATTTGC